CACCTCCCTATGCCTGCAAGCCAGGACCCTCTTAATGCAGGCCGAGGCAATCAGCCTCTCCCCTTACTGACCCGCCTCGGATACCCTCCACTGCTCCAGCCCTCCATCTAGGATCCTAGGTCTGTCTCCAAGCCACTCTCCTGGACATTATTATGTCCTATGGGCCTCTGGAGATATCGGAGCCAGGAGATCAATGATGCCCTCTCCCCCAGCAGTGACGCTCCAAGGTATCACCATGCTGTGGAGGTGATTCTGACTGGGTACGCCCCTAGAATCTCCACCCCCACAACTTCCTTGAACTTCCCCACATGGTCACCTGAGGCATCAACCCATCCCAGTAATCCTCTCCACTGGCCTTCCGGTGTGGCCTACACCCAATCTCTCAGTTCTCCTCCGGCCCAGCCCAACCTTCATTGTCCACTGGGTCACTTCCCACCCTTAATTCTACGTAGACCCCCTTCTCTCTTGGCCACGTGGTCCAGGTCTCTGGCATCGGCTGGTCTTTCTCTGTTACCTCTCAATCACCCCAGACTATTTGGCCACCGCTAGACCCTTTCCACAGAGGGCAGCAGGAGAGGGAACTGCAGCCTGCAGAGCTAGGGAGGCGAAGGCAACAAGCCAGGCCTGGGGTGATGATGAGGGCCTGGAACTGCAAGTGGGGCAGAAAGGAAGGAAGACAGACAGAAGCACTTAAGCATCTACTATATGACAAGCACCATGCCGGGTGTGATCCTCACCACAGCACTAAGGCAGGTGATGTTATTAACCCCATTCTACAGGTGAGGAAACTGAGGCAGCCAAAGGGGAAATGACAGAGGGTCAAGCAGCTAGGGAGAGTCTTGAGGCCAAATTTAAACTCAGGTCCTCCTGACTCCAGACCCAGTGCTTTGTCCAATATACCACCCGGGTGCCTCAAGGGAGGAGAAAGGTATGGAACAGAGAGACTGACCCACGCAAACCCTGTCCTTTGTGTCATTCACTTGTTTCAGCTGTCTCCGACTCTCTGTGACCCCATTTGGGCTTTTCTTGGCAGAGATACTGTAGTGATTTGCCATTGTCTTCTCCAGCTCATTTTACAGATGAGGAAACCGAGGCAACCAGGGTGAAGTGACTTACCCATGGTCACGTAGCCAGTCCGTGTCTGAGGCCAAATTTGAACTTGGGCCTTCCTCAACCTAGGTCTAGCACTCTATCCATTGCACCACCTAGCTGCCTCTTGGCAGATCTGCCCTTCCCAGCGGGTTATACAGTGCAAATACTGTCTGACTGCCCCCCTTGCAACGAGCAGAATTTTGGTGAAGCTGCTTCTGGCATGCGAGCCGGAGGGACACTCCTTTCCCTTCAGAGAAGGTCCAAGCAAGGGTGTGCTGGAGCCAGCACAAACCAAAGCTCGTTGTTACTTTTTTTTTTAATTTTTTTTCGATTGTTACCTTTTCAGTGGGAGCATATAAACCTCAGAAAAGGGCAAATGCTACAAATCTAGACTTCTCATTTTGTGGACTGACCTTATAGAGTTTAAAAAGTGATGGAGAAAATAGTAACAATTCAGATTACAATGCGTTCTGGTTGATGGGGGCGGGGCCCAAGCCAAGATCTTTGCCCTTTGCGCCAAAGGGAATCTGACTCACAGGCCCCAGACCCTCACCTCCCTTGAAAGCCCTAGCTTACCTTTAGATCTTATTCAGATGCACCTTGAACCCTTACCCTGAATAGAATCTGGCTCCTGTTTGTCTACAGGACCCGGAAAACCCTTAAACCTTCAAATTTCCTAATCGACTCCCCTCATCTCCCTTTGAAAGCCTTAGCCTGACCTTTTAATCTTATTCAGATCTGGCTCCCTCTTGTCTATAGGCCGCAGAAAGGCCTTCCTTTATCTCCTTTCGAAAGTCCTTGATTTTGTACTGATGCCTTTCAAACTTCTGCTTTCTTGTTCCCTCCATTATCTATTCCCATTGTCTATTCAATCTCTCAGACCTCCCCAATTAGAATTCTTACCTAGACCCTTTTCCCAACCCCCTTCTCTGGCCACCCAAAGTTACTTCAGTATTTAAGATCCACCTTGGCCCTCATTCAGATGCTGAGAATCTCACGCTCAAAAGGCTGAGAACCTCTCATGCCTGCTCGTCTTCACGGGCATCACCTGGCCAATGTGATTTATCACTAATAAACTTTTCCCCTGGCTGAAGAAGACTTGAGTTGAATTCATTCAGCAGGGCCCGGTACCGCAATCTTGGGGTCCCAGCACCCCAAAACCCCTAGACCTCTTCACTGGTGTTGTGTTAAACATTGAACAGCACATCCCTGGCACCAGTATTGTTTGCTGCTGCACACTGTGGGCACGAAGCATCTTATCATCAGCTACATACAAAGGCCTGGGCGCACGGTCTCCGGTTCTCTTCCCTGGCGGCTTTTGGGGGAGGAGCAAGCACTGGGGGCTTCCCAGCATGAAAGAGACATCAGTCCTCTCTCCCACAGGGCTTCTGTGTGTGCATGAATAGCTATGTGACTTTTCTGCTTTGGCCTTGACTTTATTTTTCTGGATTTTATGCGAATGATAATCTTGAGAGCTTTGAAAGGCCCAAGAGCCATCACAGGTCTAGCAACTGGAGTCGACAGCTGCAGGAGCTGCCAGTGGCCACAGGAGCCAAGTGGGAGAAGCTAGCCCAGGGGGGGCTTCAGGTGTGAGCCCCCCCCCCCCGACGTTGTGCACGTGCAAGAAGGGGAGGGCACGCTCTGCACTGAGGAGGAATGTTTTGTGCGGGTCCCTCCAAGCCTGAGCCCACTCTCCAGGGACTGAATGTTGCAGAAAGGACATTGTGCCTGCCTCCTGATTTGGTGGGGCATTACTGTGCCTCAGTCCTTGCTACAGTAAATGTCCCCTTGCAAAAGCTAATTGGCTACCACTGGTTAATTAATATTGAAGACATGGTAACCGTTAAATGATGTTGGGCAGCACTCTGGTGAGGGATTGTAATGGTACTAGAAAACCTGACCCAGCCTCTCAACAGTTACCCCAAAAACTGAGGGGGAGAAGCAGCCCACAGCCCTTTGGAGAGGGTGCCCAGAGAAAGGAATGAGAGAGAGAGTGGGACAAAGGACATCAGACAGGAAGGACGAGAACCAGGGGAAAACAGCAGAACGGAAGCCACAGAGGTTAGAGCATCCTAGGACATGAGAGCTGCACTTAGAGGATGAATGACAGGAAGCCAGCAAGGACTGGAGATTTGGTCTAATCCCTTCATTTCACAGAAGCAGAAATTTGGGTTTCTTCAAGTGGAGGAGACGCTGCACTTCGGGCTGCAGCCACCTCAGGCCCCAGGTGTCCAGAGCCCCCACCTAGGAAGGAAGCAGCCTTGACTTTGTGGGAAACCGCACTTCGAGACAGCAGCAGTAAAGGTTCCAGGCAATCAATGGGGAGGAACGAAGCGTCCCTCATGCTCTGGAAATCCGGGAGCAGAAGCCCGCAGAGGGTTGGGGGGCAGGGCTGAGCAGGACTGGGATGGGCTGAGAGGTAGGAGCTGCCGGTCCACCTGCACCCAGTCCTCCGGGAGCATTCCAGCTCACAGCGCAAAGCTAAGCTTCCTCCCCCCACCCCCCATCTCTTTTTCTGTAGCTCTAGAGGGAAAGCAGCAGCCTTTCTGATCCTCTTAGTGGGAAATCTGTGGATCTTTGCAAACTCCTTTTGTCCAAGTTTGCTTTCCTCCGTGCTATTAAAAACAGTGGGTAACTGCTGAAATGTGTGTGCTGTTTGGCTGCAATGGGAAGAGAGATTGGTAAAAACCTGCAAGTCAGAAGAGCTAAAGAATTGGGTTTTCTTTCTAAAAATTCCCATTTCGTGCTGCCAGAGTGAGGTTTTGCGCTGGGGGCTTGTGTCAAAGCATGAATGGAGACGGGCTGTTTTCGCTAGGGCTTCCTCTCTGGGCATCGAAGTAGGGGCACTGCCGCAGCTACCTGCTGGCAAGGAGCCAGGCACCTGCATCAGCACCCCTCCAGCAGGGTGGGAGAAGGGCCGCTAAGAAGGAAGATCCCGCCCCAAGCACGGGGAGGGGAGGTGGGGGGAAGGGAGGGACAGGAGGAAGAGGAGAGGAGGGAGGAAGGAAGGAGTAGAAGGGGGAGGGAGAGAAGAAGAGGGGGAAGAGGACGTGAGGGAAGAGTAGAAGGGGGAGGGAGAGAAGAAGAGGGGGAAGAGGAGGTGGGGGAAAGGCGCAGGTGAGGGGGGAGGGGAGGGAGGAAAGGGGTAGAGGAGGGAGGGGAGAAGAGGAGAGGAAAGTGGGAGGGGTAAAAGGGGAGAGTGAGGAGTGGAGGGAAGAAGAGGTGGGGAAAAGGGGAGAGGCGGGGGAGGAAGGAGAAGGAGAGGAGGGAAGGGGAGTGGGGGAAGGGGCGGGCCCGGCGGCCAGGCCCGCTGGCAGCCCCCCCAAGGCGGTGAGTCAGCACGCTCGCTTGGGCCGGGCTAACTGCCCGCAGCTGCCCCGGGGCAGGGAGCAGGGATGCAGGTACCCAGGATGGGGAGGTGGGCGCGGGGAGTGCCCCGCCCTGTGAGGTGGGTCTTCCCGCATCCGGCGGGGCGGCAGCAGAGGCGGAGGTCTGAGCGCGGGGGCGGTCACTGGGCGGGGGGGTGGGGTCATTCAGTGTGGGACGGCGCCCCTGGAGGGGGCGTGCTGCCCAGACGTTGGAAAGCCGAGGCACCCCCAAGGGACCGCTCGAGAGACCCCCAACTCGACCAGATTCCGGCTGCACTTCAGCTCGGTGACGTGCGAGTAAGGTCCGCTCCCTCCTCGGGGCCCCCCTTGGCGCTCAGAAGGGGGAACCCTAAGGGGTGAGACGCGTCAGCAGCCGGCCTTCCGCAGGCGGCGCACGCGCGCTCTGCACTCTGGGACGTGTAGTGCTCCCCGCTCCACTGCCGTGACGGCCGCTCGTCTTACGTCACGTCGCGTTACGTCGCATCACATGATCTCTCCCCTACGCCGTCGGCGGCCTGCGTGCGTAGTGCGTGGGTTGCCGAGGCGACGGCGCAGGCCTGGGCGCGCGCCCCTTCCCCTCCCCCCACCTCCCCCCTTTCCAACCACAATGAGCTTCTAAGATGGCGGTTGGCCCGCAGGCGCCGAGGTAGAGGAGGAGGCCGAGGGGCCCAGGAGGTCGGGGGAGGGGGCGCCGGGGCGAGGTGGAGATGCGGGGGGAACCCGGTCAGGGTGCGTGAGTGGGGCCCGCGCGCTGGGGCGGGGACCCCGCGAGACCGCCCCACCCCCATCCCGGGAGGGGGAGGGGCGGGGAGTAAGGGGGCGGTCGCTGCTGACTGAGCGCGTGAGGCGCCGAGGGCCTCAGTTTACCCCGCTGCGACTGTCCTGAATATGTAAATGTGGACACGCCCGGAGGGGACGTGGGCGCGGTGTGAGCCCCCCCAGCCCTGGAGAAGTCCCAAGGCGCCCTCCCCCCCCCCCCGCTCCCCCTTCCCTGCTCCCCTCCCCCTCCCCCAGCCCCGCTGGCGGGCGCGTGCGCAGGACCTTTCCCGCCTTCCTGGGGCGGGGTCCTAGGCTCTAGTCGGGCAGTGTCCTGAGCCTGAGCGCGGCGTTCAGGCCCTCTTGCTGGAGCGGCTCCTAGGTCAGGGGTGCTGGAGGGAGGAGAGGAGGAGAGCCGGGGCTGGCTCTGGGCCTTGCAGGGGCCGGGGAGCCCGGAGTCCCCCCCCCCGCAGAGGAGGCTCCTGGAGGTGGGGGAGGGGCCGGGGGATCATTTGGAGGAAGAAACGCCTGCAGCCGGGGGGGGGGGGGGGGCACGGGGCTGGGCTTTGGAGGAAAGTGTGCGAGAGAGGGAGGCCAGGAAAGACCCAGGAGAAGCCAGGCGCTCAGGTCTGGGGGCGGGCACCGGTGGGAGGGGCTCGGGGTGCCAAGCCGGGGCCTCTGAGGCCGATGGAGTAGAGCCTCGGGTCAGTGACGAGGCCTTGGGCATGCCGGGCCAGAGTGAAGCGGTCTGAGCTGCTGTGGGCACGTGCGGGGTGTCCTCGATCAGACAGATGATGGAGACCGCCGCGGGTGCTGGGACAGTGGGGAAGTCTGATGTGGGCAGGTGGAGTTTGAGATGCCTCCGGAGCCTCCCTCCAGTTTGAAGGCATTGATTGACGTCGGAAGTCCTGGGTTCAAATGCCGCCTGGGGTGGTCACTATTGCGTGACTCACCTGCGGAGCCAGGGCCTTGGAGGCGGCCTCTACAGTCCCTTCCAGCTTGAGCTCTGATCTCAGGTCCTGCGCTCTGTCTACATCTGTGGGGACAGCGAGCGTAGAGCGGGTTCTCCCCTTCCTGGGGTCCCAAACCCTTCTCAGAGTCATGTTTGCAAGTGCCTCCACTACAAGGCATAGGGTGGAAGGAAACAGTGCTCGTGTGGTCGGGAGAGCGGGGTTCGGACGAGGCTGGTGACATTGAAATGGTTCTGTTTGAGCATCAGTTTCCCATTTGTAAACCGACGCTGATGTGGGGCTGGTGGCCACCATGACCTGACCTCTCAGGCTGCTCAGGGCATGTCAGGAGGCGCCTTCTCAGGAAGGTTGTCAAGGCTAAGGACAGCTCTTGGCCGTCCCCTGGAATCGATCTGGATCTGTTTAGAGGCCGTCGTGGCTGAGAGGAAACTGGGGCTGCTTCCTTGGGAGAAGCCGCGGCAGACCTGACCTCTCAAGAAGAGTCCCAAGGAATCACCGAGTCCGCACAGCTTCCCTCCCAGGAAGCCTTGAGTGTTGGTTTTCTGTTTCTGGGTTCCCATTGGCAGCAGCCTCACACTGTATGTTTGGTTACCAAACTGTCCAGAGTAAACTGGACTGTTGTTAAGGAGAGGAGTTACCCAAACAAATAGTTTGATCTTTTGAGAATCCTCCCAGGTGAGAGACTGTTTGTTTCTAGGCAGGTTAAGATTTTAGGTGGCACAAAATAAATATTTAGGGAAAACCCACCTGGCTTGTTTTCCTGCTGTTCCTTTGTGTTCTGTTGAATGCTGGTTCCTCTGGAAACTGGGCTGAAGACGCAGTTGGAGTCAAAAGAAGTCAGTGCTGGCCAAGAGGAAAGAGGAGTTGTCAGAGAAGTAGGAGGGAGCCCAGCACCTTGGAGTGCTGCATTTCAAAGAGGAGGGTGGTCTGTGATGTCTGCTGCTTCCACCCACCCTGGCCAGGGGGGAGTCTCCTGCTGATGGAAGCCATGGGGCCAAGATGGAGCCATATTTGGTGTGTATTGATGCTTGGCTTTTAGCTGGTGTTCTGAGCTGCACAGGGCTTTGGGGGGTGCATAAGCTCCCTCCTAGACTCACTCAGGTGCCCTGATTTGAGAGCACATGACCCCAGCCATAATAATTTGTGACATTTTTAGAATTTGGTGTGCTGCCTTGTCAGCCTCTGTTTCCTGTCTGTGAAATGAAGGTGCTGGATTCAGTGGCCCCTGAGATCCCTTCTAGATATTTACCATCAATATGTGTTCAGTGGCGGTTGGGTCCTTTTTCTAGCCCATTGACATTGAAGAGTAAGAAGCAATAATGGGGATAAAAGACTAAGGATTCATTTTTAAGAAGCCTACTCCAGATTGTTCTTCTGTTTTGCTGTATCTTAGATGTTACTACCTGAAGAAAAGGCAGATTTTCGTGAGAGGGCAGTTAGTAAACTCGGAGTGGGAATCCCAGGGTTGGAGATGTTGATGTGGGTGCTTCACTGCTCATACTTGTAGACTTCTGTTAGCTCATTCATGAAATGAGAATGGGATGGCAGGGTGAGCTGGGAGAAGGAATTGACAAGCTAGCCACCTCCCTTCACAGATGTCCAGGGGCAGAAAAGGAGGTGGTAACTTGCCCCATGCCCTCACCTGGCTGGCTCCAGAGAATAGTTGTTGTTAGGGGTAAGCCAGTGGCAGATCAGGTACTAGTGATGAGGGCAACATTGTGAGAGGCTGAGAAAGCCGAAGCTAAACTGCTCTGGCTGCTCTGAGCTCAGGAGATGGCGTCTCATACCTTTGCTTCCCATTCGGACTGGATTTCTGAGCCCAGGACTCTGGTTCTCTTCTCCAGTGCCATCCCACAAGGATTTCTCAGGCCGTATCCTAGGGGAGACGTAAAGACAAAGGAAGCAGTGCCTGCCTCTGTGGCATTGGGGGTCCAGGACAGACCAAGTGATGAACGTGAGGGGTGAACGCGGCCTGTGGGGGCATCTGAGGCAAGAAGGGTAGGGCAACTTTCCTGGAGATAATGGGTAACTGGAGATAGTAGGTAGGATCAGCTAGAGGAGAGGTAGGGCAGATGTGAGGAGGCGGAGCAGGACAGAATGGGCAGAGAGAGTGGTCCCGATTAGAGGAAGCCTCAGAGGCCAGGCTGAGGAGTTTGGATGGTATCAGTAGGCGGGTGATAGAAGTAGGGAGGTTTGGAGCAGAAGAAGATGATAATCACCTCTCTGGCTAACCCGAGTGGCAGAAGCTGGAGGCCACAAGAGTTATTTGGAGGTAAATGGAAGATGGTAACAGGCCTGTACCAGAGTAAGAGTTTGGGAAGTGATGGAGGGCGCATCAGCAGGGCTCGGGCAAGGAGAGGGGAGAAGAGAGACAGACGGTGCCAACATTTCCAACTTCTGGTGCCTTCCCTCCTGAGTTAACTTTATGTTTGTAATACCTATCACCTGATACATACTGTAATACCGATTTCTTGCCTTGCGAACGGATTGTTTCCTTCCAGCCATGAGCTCTAAACCCGCAACACTAGGATGAGCCGCGTCTGTGCCCTTGGGGGTCCTCATGCCATGGCTTTTTCCTCTCACTGTGGCTAAGCAAGAGTTGGCTAGAGATGAAGTTCCGTTCTCATGTGGTCTCCAGTAGCACTGTAGCAAACTGTAAGTGGGACTTACAGCCTGCTTGTATGGAGAACAGCCCCTAGCATTCAGGTCCATTTATTCCTTTGGTGGTGTGTGCCGAGGTCCCTTCCCTGTACACTGTTTCATTTTATGGACTGAGGAAGACACAAAGCGAATGGAGACTCTAAGAGGGATGGCCGTGATAATTGCCAGCTGGGCAGTGTGTATCATCAGGCTACAATAATGATAAGATTAGGATTTACCAAGTGCCACAGCAGGTATAACTTTGGAGAGTCTAATTCTGCTGTGGCAGAGTGGGAAGAAGAAGAAAAAATGGTTCCTAGTGACTGGCCTGGCCTGGAATGGGAGGACAGTACCAGGCAATCACAGAAGGCTTCCTGGAAGAGGCCCATTGGAGCCGGGCCTTAAATCCAGGAACAGGACAAAAGTGCACAGATGCTTTGTATTGAACACAAGTGAAGGCTCACGAGCGGCTCAAATCAGGGCATGGGATATGTGGTGGGGTGAGGCACAAGGAAAGTCAGTTGTGTCATGACATTGGGCAGGCCTTGAATGCCAGGCTAAGGAGTTTGGGCTTTATTCAGGTGCAGTTGGGAAACCAGTGAAGGGTTTTGAGCAGAAAGGTGACGTGGTCAGATCTGTATATAAGAAAGATTAATTTGGCATCACTATGAAAGAGGAATTAGAAATTGGGAGACCAGTTAGGAATCTGTTGCATTAGTCCGGGCATGTAGCTATGAGGGCCTGAACTAGGGAGGTGGCAGTGGGAATAGAAAGAGGGAGTGAATTTGAGATGTGGACCTAGAATCATGAGGACTTGGGCATGGTTGCATTGGGGAGGTGGTCGAGCTGAGAAAGGCAAGCTGAAAAAGAAGCCTGCCCCCAGGCAGTGTGGCCCTGCGATGTGGGATGTGTGTCTGGCAGCGTCCAGTTTGATGGGCATGATATCCTCTTTGGAGAGCCTTCTTTTGATGGTGGAGCGTCGTTAAAAGAGAATAAAACTTTCTCTTTTTTTATGTACTAAAAAGTCTGTCTCCTGGCTAGATCTGTTTGTAGCTTCTCTTTCCTTTACAGATAATTCTTGATTAATGGGACAGCATGGCCACCGGAGGAGTTCCTTTTGAAGAAGGCAGGAATGGTCAAGATTTGCCAAGCTGGAGTAACGAGAGTGTGGACGACCGGCTAAACAATATGGTACGAGTAGCCTAGAAATCGCAGTCACGTCGGGGGCCGTGTTTACTTGTAGTCACTGTTCCCCAAAGGATGAGCCCAGCTTAGCCCATGAAAACCCTGTCGCACGGATATGTTTATTCTGTCAGGAGAGCAGTATTAAGGGGGCTTAGTAATTGTTGAAACATAGAAGGGACTTTGGAGGTCTTACAGATGAGGAGAACAAGCATTGTGAGGTGACTGAAGTCACCCAGGTAGGAAGGAAAGAAACCCGGTCAAGACTAAGTGCGAAGCTCATGCCATTGGGGCCCTCTCCCCTGTCCCCTCAGGGTCATAGGCATTTAGCGGCGTCCATGGGCTCCAGCTGGCTTAGGTTGGCAGAAAGCAGTAGGTAGCTGTGGCCTCTGATGAAAGGATTGGTCATTCCCTGGTGGGCCACCGTCAGGGCTACCTCGTGGGACTTGGTTGCCTCCGATCTAAGTTTTCTCAGGATTCATCACAGACTAATGAAGAGTTCTGTGATCTCAGCAGGTTCTCTTAGTATGCATGAGGTAGAACCCCTGGGCTGCTATATTTCAACTGAAGCTTGGACACAGGATTATGGACCTTGGGTTAAAGTCAGTTCAGGGAGCATTTTAGTGCTTTAAACGTGCTGGGGACACAAAGACAGTGGTTAGTATGTGACAGGTGAGGGTTAGAGCTGGGGCCAGAGGGAGACCAGTTTCAGGGTGAGTAATTTCTAAAAAATTGGGCCAGTGAAAATTGTATCAGTCTATGAAACTACTTAACTGCCTGAAAACTGACACATTATATATTAGCATTTTAAGGCCAAGCAAATTTTGTTCCCTAAATAAAATATCTACCTTTGATAAAGGACTAATTAACTCTGACTTTATTGTTTTTTCTCCCTCCTTTTCAAGGATTGGGGTGGCCAACAAAAGAAAGCAAACAGATCAGCAGAGAAAAACAGGAAGAAATTTGGTGTCGAGAGTGAAAAGAGGGTAATGAATGACATTTCCCCTGAGTCGTCCCCAGGAGTTGGACGGAGAAAGATGAGGACTCCTCACACCTTTCCTCACAGCAGATATGTGACGCAGATGTCTGTTCCCGAGCAGACAGAACTGGACAAGCTGAAGCAGCGGATAAATTTCAGTGACTTAGATCAGGTTTGTGCATTGCTTGGGGGGGGGGAGATACCGTCCTTAAACCCAAGGTGGGGGCAAAGGCCTGTTGGGCTGACTCTGGGATGACTGAGGGCTGCTTCCTGGCAGGCTCCAGCAGGTCGGCTCTGAGGCCCGAGAACCAGAACGGTCTTGGTGTCGTACTCAGCTCATGCTTTGTGACCAGGCACACGGCAACATTGGTTCACAGGGCTGGTTCCAAGACTCATTTTAAGATGTGCTGTTCTGTTTGTCAGGGGCCTCGGTTCAGTGATGCTGGGTTTGGTGACTCCTCCAGAAGAGGTTGAGGTTTTTAGAGGGGGGTTTAGTTTTCCCAGCTTTGGGCCTCTCTTACCCAGGGAGCACCCCGTGCTGCGTGAGATTTGTGTCCTGGCAGATTCAAGCCCAGGGTGATGGAATCAGTTAGCGGTCTGAACTGGGTTTTTTAAGCCAGCCTCTTACACTGATGTGCCCGTGGACCCTTGGTTCTTAGACCTGCAGCCTCCCAGAAATCCGTGGACAAGTGCACATCATGACTGTCATTCAGAGGCATCAGGTGTATCCTCTCTGGCCCAGTATAGGGAGAGCCAGCTGAGAGCCGTGCCCAAGCAGTCTAAGGAGATGGTGAACTGAACGAGCAGGCCGTGGGTGCTCATGCTGGTGGGGGCGGGTTTCTTTTTCACTCTAGAGGAGCATCGGAAGCGACTCCCAAGGCAGAGCCACAGCTGCTAACAACAGACGTCAGCTTGCGGAAAACAGGAAGCCGCACAACTTTTTGTCGATGCAGATTAATACAAACAAGAGCAAAGATGTGGGCACAAGTCCTCAAACAAGGGAGATGAGTGGGTCGTCCCAGTGTAAAGAGCTATTTGCATCTGCTTTGAGTAAAGATCTTTTACAAAACTGTCAAGTCTCCGAGGAAGATGGGAGAGGAGAGCCTGCGATGGACAGCAGCCAGGTAATGCGCTTCTCACCTGTGTGTTCCTTCTGTGTTTTGCCCATGTTTTCCCCTCCCCAAAGGAGGAGGCCTTTGAAATGAAATCTGATGTGCTTGGGAGTTGCATGCATGCTTAGTTTTGTTAGGTTAAGTAGAAACTGATTTTTATTTGTTTTCTCCACTAGAGAAAAACATTCTAACTCGTCTTCCTAAGATGTTCAAAATATGTGAAAGTTTGCAGGACTATGGAGTGTTGAGGTTGAGGACCGCTGCTGCACACACAGGCCCTGTAGAAGTGACTGATCTGCAGAAAACTAGAGTAGAATAAAAGACGCTGACGTGTCTAGAGGGTTTCTAGTCCAAGTTCATTGTTCTTCCCTTCAGAAGAGCTCTGAGGACCTTCCAGTTACATTGGTGCCAGTGCTGGTGATTGTTGATAGAATGTTGGACTCAGTCCCGTGTCCCTGACGGTCACAAGCCTCTTCTGAAAAAGGACTACAATCATAGGTGTAACACCTACTTTATGGGCTGGTGGTCACGCTTGGAGGAGCACATTTGGGCAAAAAGCATTTTGTAGGTTTTTAAAGAGTACAGTGTAAATGTCAGCTGCTCTGCTGACTTTAGGGTAAGCCTTGTGACCGTCAGTCACTGTCGGACACATGTTAGATGCCATTCCTGGTGCCCGGCACATAGGTGTCAGCTAGTCCATGCTGGTGGACAGACATAGAGGACGTACGTGTGTCAGTGAGGGACACCAGCCAGAAAGTGCTTTTGGACTCCATCTCCCCTATCGGTTTGTTAGTGTTCTAGAGTCATTTGGGTTCTTTTTTGGACTTTAGTGTCTGATTGGAAGCAACTGCTTCTCCCCCCCCCCCCGCCCCAGCCTATTGTACTCTTGGGTTAATTTTAAAAAAACAACTGTGTGAGCCTAACTCCTTTTAACATTGCTCCTTCAAACGAACGATGTTGCCACCACGAGTGCTGGTGCGGGTACTCGGATCCCGCTCCATCTGCCGTGTGAGTATGAGGCCTGCAGCGGGTCGAGAACCTTTGGGGGTCAGTGACTGGCTAGTGCTCAGGTCTTCCCCACGTCCCCCTTAACTGACGGAATGTCCTCTCTGCAGATTGTGAGCAGGCTGGGGTTCAGATTCGGGACTATATTGCCAAGGCTAGTTCCATGCGGGATGATCTGGTAGAGAAAAATGAGAGATCCGCCAATGTTGAGCGCCTCACACACCTTATAGATCATCTCAAAGAGCAAGAAAAGTCCTACCTGAAATTTCTGCAAAAGATGCTTGTGAGTGTTAGACCCTTACCCCTGGTCCACTTTCAGTCCTGTGCCAGCGGGACTCCTGACCTGATGTGTGCTTTGATGGCATCGTGGGAGTGGTGTGTTGTGTTCAAGGCCAAGTGCGCCCATTTCATTTCTGTTGTCCCTTTTTAATAGCTGTGTGATTTATACCGCTACAATATTTCAGGCTAGAGAAAAGGAGGAGGACGATGTTCGCACTATAGATTCCGCTGTGGGATCTGGTTCTGTAGCTGAGAGCACATCGCTAATCATAGATGTGCAGTCTGGGGGCTTCAGACACCACGGTAAGCTGCCTTTCAGTCCTTACGCTGCTGGGGAGGAAGATGCCAATTCTTGTTGCACTTAGTGAGAGTCGTGACTTGGGTTGGAGCACACAAGCACGCACAGATGTGGCCCAGTAGGGAGCTCTCAGCACTTTCTGTGTCTTGGAACCCTCCGGGTCTGAGCGATTGGGCTTCCCTTTAATTAGCAAAGCTTAGGGATGTCATTCCAATACAGTTTCCTCATTGAGGAGCAGTTTTACCGTTTCTGAAAAGATGACGTTGTGGGAAGAAATCACTGCAGTCTCTTGCTGTCGTGGGAGATGTCAGTGTCTCTGGAGGCTTTCAGCTGGAGAGTTCCCAGAGTCCCATGTGTTTTGAACCTTTCAGGTGTCCCCATCTGTTCGAGGTTAGCCTGGCTGCTCACAGACCCCAGTGACCCCCAGACCCTGCAGATCAAGCTGCTTTACCCAGTGTTGAGGGGGCTGGCTTGGGCACTGGTAGATCAGAGGAGGAGATTGGACTCAGATGTTCCAGAAAAATGGGGGCTACCAAACATGGCTTTTCCTTGGAAGCTTTGGGCTGCGAGTAGGGTAGACTGATCATTTAGACTCAGAAAATGGGAGAGCACCAGGCCCGACTTTACCAGTGGCCCCTCCGTACCATGGTGCCTCTGAGGGTCCAGTGATAGCCACACAGCTCTCAGCACCGAGCCTGGCATACAGTAGGCGCTATAGAACCGTTCTCTGTTATTCTTACCCAGGAGCTGGTCTTTGCTCAGGCTCGATAGTTGAGCTTCATCAGTGAAATGCCCCTGGTGAAAGAAGGGAGCTCACAGAGTAGTCATTGGGAGCTTCTGGGGGGTATGGGGCAGGGTTTGAGAATAATGCACAAGATCCCCAGCATTAGGAAGCAAGTTACATTTCCTTTGGCTGCTTCATCTGTTAATGTTCACCCCACTTCCTTTCCTCCCTTCCTTGAAGAGGAAACTGCCTGTTTTCCCCTTCTTTCTGCCGTGGTACGACCAGCTGCTTGGACAAGTTGAGCAGATCAGGTGGAAGGGGGCTTCAGCAGAGGGACATTTGTTCTTCCAGCTAGCACAGATTTGCCCCCAAACCAACCTTCCCACTTTATTTATTTTGCCAGTTGTGATCAGGGGTGGGGGGATGGAGATATTCATCAGGATGGTGGTGGAGAGGCATTAGCTTCCAGTCAGAGGATGGTGAGGGGACGGGCAGTCAGACCTCGCCTGGGCAAGGGCCACTTGGCTGCCGCTCCAGGTCAGCCAGGATTCCCGCAACTTGAGGAGCGCTCTGCCTCTGGGAGGGCAAGGCCTGGGCGGGGTGGGCTGGTGAGTGGGTGGGCCTTGGTTATGAGGCTGCCTGTAAATATGTGTTAAACAGGAGTGTGTGTTAAGAGAATTAATGCACTACACTATTTAATAAAGGAGGCATCTTGTAGTCTGAGAATTCGGCCGTGCATTGAGGACAAACTAGGGGATTCAGCTTCCCAAGAACAGGTTTCAGACATTGACGTCCCTCCAAGTCCCAAAGGGAAAGGTGACAGACCTGCTCAGAATGACAGGGAGATATGGCCTGATAGGAAGTATAGCCAAGGACGTGGATTATCCGCAAAGGTACAGATGCTGCGCCCCTCTTGGGGAGCGGTGCTGGGCATGGGGGGGTGGGCAGGGATGGAGGGGGGCCTCTGTTGTGTGCCTGCTTTCTTGACTTTCTGTGGTGATCACCATTGCCGATGGTCCCTGTTATGAACCTCCAGGATTTGTAAGGGTTTTTCACATTGTATGAACCTGAAGATTAACCACTTGTCAAGCCCATCCCCTCTCTCTATGTGGAGGGCTCTGCCTCGAAAATATTTTCTGAGCTTCACAGCTTAGGAAGAGTTGCCTCTCGAGTGTGTCTGATGGTCTTGGATTCCAAGTGAAGTTCGTATTGGGGGAGCAGTGGTGGGGACCAGCCCTGGGGTAGCAGATCAGATTTCCTAGAGCTAGCAGGACTTAAAATCCAGCAGATCATTTTTTCCCTGCCTTTTGTCAGAAGGAAATGTTTTTAGTGTTTCCTTTTGCTTGTTTATATGTTAGTTGAAAATTCTTTCAACTCATTATTCCATAATCAGATTGAGTGCTGGGATCATTTCCTCCAGAGTTTCTCACAAATGTTTTCTGTTTTAATTTGCCATGTTTTGTCCTTAGTGTGTGTAGGATTCTAAGATAACTGCCCCTTGAAGTTAGCCCCATGGAAAGTAATTTAAGATAGAGTGTGTTTAATTTGACAGGAAATGCTGTTTTGTAAGACTTTCTTCCTTGGGATAAAACTCCTTTTGTTGGCTCAGAAATATTTCCTTTTTATTTTTATGGAATGGGGATTAGACCTATGATTTCATTTTTGTTGAAGATTCCCCCGCAGGCAGCGCCTTCTCCCAAGGCGATTGGGCATCCCTGGCCAGCGGCCAGCTCACTTAAGAGTCTTTGGGAGTCGCCTCAAGTCCTGTGAGAAAGGATTTGCTCATGGCCAGTATGTCAGGACTTGAACCCAGACCCAGGCTGGCTCTCTATGCACAAGACAGTGCTTGCTGCCTTTCTTTTATTCATGTGATTACTTTAAAATAAAGGCCAGACCAGATGGCTTAACCGGCGTTGTGTTGGTGACTTGGTGGACTTGTGTAGGAATTTGAAGTTGGTGATGAGAGGACAGCTGGTGGGAATGTGCCAGGTGGCTCTTTGATCTGTAGCCTGGCAGAAGGGGGAGGGCAGCGGGGGCTGGGCAGAGCAATGCTGGCAGAAAGTGGACTGGAAAAGGAGGCGCAGAGGGGCCTAGGCTATGGATGGACTTGGGGAAACCCGTTGACCTGTCCTTCAGTTATTCAGAAATAGCATTCTGAGAGAGGGCCCTAGGTTGTGCCAGACTGACTGCCAGAGGGTATATGTACACCCCCCCACCTACCACACACCACAAGCACATCACATGCACACCCCCCCCACAAATACCACATGTACATACACACACCACACATGTGTACACGTAACACACATATACCGCATACACAAATACCACATGCACACATACCCCACATATATACACTACACACACCACGCATGCACATATCCCACATACATACCACATGTACGCACATCACACACACAGAGTTAAAGACTCCTGTTAGAGAAGGGTCGTGTTGCTTACTGGTCTGTTTCCCTAGGGCGTGGTTGAGCAGATCGTGGCCGCTGCAGCCACAGATTCTAGTTGGTAAATATTCTTTTCAGACACGTCTGTAGGCAGTGTGTTTGGTTTAATTTACTGTTTTCATTTGATGCCTTGCCAGATGCTGCTTTGGATAAAGTGTGAGCTGAATATAAAGCTAAATTTGTATTCAGGTCAGATGATTCAGTTGCTTTCTGTTTGCTCTCCTGTTACCCTAGTTCAATGTAATTTTTCAAAACAATCTCCTTCTGAGATGCAATATGGCCAAGCAGCTACAGAGAGCTGGCCTTGTTGGCAGGAAGACCTGGGCTCAAGGCCTGCCCCGACACACCCCCCTGGGCAGGTAAGGGAGCCTCTCAAGGCTCCCAGGCAACTTTCAAAGATTGATTTACATTCTTGAGTGTGTTCTGGTCTGCTTTGGTCAAGGGTTGTGTGCCCCGGTCCCTGTACCGTGAAATCCCAGAGAGCTCTGTTCCTCCCCCTCCCACCCCCCAGTACATTAATTGAAAAAACAAACTTTGTGGTTTTGGATTTGCTCCCGTTTCCCTTCAGTTTTCCAGTTTTAGCATTCCTCATGAATAATGCCTCCTCCGCTTTATTTTGTCAGTCCCACATCAGTCAGAGTGATTTGTAATCCTTAGAAGAATGACATCCTTAATGCCAGACTCACCTCTTATCCATTTCTTTCCTCTGCCAGATGTCTCTCACGTGTCTTTCTCCCCAGGATCCCCTTTTCAAATGTTGTAGGATTCTGTCATTAAAACGGGAAAAGGAAAATCAGGATTCTACCAGAGAGCCAAAAGTTCACCTTGATCATTCATCAGGTTTAATTCACGGCAGCTTAGTGACTACAGAATGTTGGCTTAGCACCTGGAAGACCTGGGTTTGAGCATCACTTTGATACTCCCAGGTTGTGTGCGCCTGAGCAAGCCCCTTCTCTTTTCAGCACTTAAGTCTGGAAGCAGCAGAGGAGGTGCTGACAAACAGGCTGTTTTTTCCCAGTCTACCCTTGATTGTTACCCCTAGGTTTTAAGTGGAGCTTAAACTGGGTGAGTTACCGAAACATTGGAGAACATGCGTCCCCCACCTCTTGGATCAGTTTCTTAACCGTTAACGACGTGTATAGCATGGTACAGTCCTACAGCACCATGCCATCTCCTCTGGGCAGGTTTGGTAATTCTGGGACTTTGCAGCTTTTCAGTTTGTCCGTATCTTGGTTCAGTGTTCTTCCTTCCCTCTACGTCGCTCAGTTCCCTCAAAGTCTTCTAGGCCACTGGAGACTGAAGAAAAGAAAACAAACCAGCCTAGACACCTTTGGGGAGTGGATGCTTTACATATGGATGAAATTGCCCAGGCCTCAGAGCCTGCGGCTCTTGTAATGGCAGTCTCGGAGTAGTCTGGATTGAGAAGAAAGCGTCAACCTAAGGACCTTTCTCCAGTCTCTAGAATACCAGCCCTTGTATTACCTTGTCCATGGCAATTATTTTTTCTTTATAGCAAAAGT